ACTTGGATTCCTCTCTTGCTTGTAAAAATTGCCACGGTCCCCTGGGTTCTTACCCTGTGGGCGGACAATTGCTAGCCAGCATGGGTTGGAATGGAGCCAGCCCCAAGGCATTGCTGGCTGGGTTGTAGCTGTGATGTCTTGTCCCACCCCAGGATGGGCGTCTTAGCTCCTGGGGACAGGGGATGTTTTCCTCAGGGCTGGAATTCAGTTTTCAGGGAGGAAGGCTGGCCTAGTGGTTAGGGAGTTGGACTGTGACTTTTAGAGACCGAGGTCAATTCCCTGCTCTGCAACAGACTCCCTGTGCGTCCTTGGACAGGCCCTCAGTATCTCTGCCTTAGGTCCCCATCTGCCCGGCGGGGTAATAACCCTGGCCGCTTTCAGTTCACTTCTTTGGGGCAGGGACGGTCCCTGCCTAGCACAGCTGGGCCTGGATCGTGCAAACACTAGGAACTATTTTTGTCCGTGGGGAAGAGCTGCCCCTTTTCCGATCTGGGGCGGGGATCCCGTCTCGTCCCTCTGTGTATTTCCTGGGGTGTTTCCAATTCGTTCTCCCGCACATGCGTGTCTCTGCAGAGAGTCTTCAGCCACCCACCTCTCAGATGTTCTTCGTTTCTTGTTTTCCACTGGTGTGAAAATTCCACGTTCCCGTGGTGCTGCTGTCGAATTCAGGGCCCCCAAAGCCCCCCCCCCCCGACGCTCCCTTTGAACCCCAGCTCTGGAGGGGTGTCTGGCTGCCTTCGGAGAGTTAAGATCTCCCAGCTAAACCCAATAGGGTGGTTTTATTTCTGGAGGGAGGAGCTGGACTGCGTTCATGCAGTTCTTAGGCATGAGCGGAAGGTCCCTCAAGACCAATAATGCCCCGGGCGGGGACAATGAATTGAGCCTTTCTTTATAGACGGCGGCTGGAGCATGGTATCACCCCCCTCGCCCCCCAATCAGGCCGCTCACCACTAGAAAGTTGTCCCCATGTGACCGCTGTCTGGGGGCCTCTGTGAAAGGAGGCGGCAGGTTTCCGTCCCAGTCCCAGGGCACCTCCTTGAGAGCTGGCAGACTCAGAGACCCCGGAGCCAGGAGTCTCCCTTTGCCCAGAGAACTGGTCCCTCCGGGACGGCTCGGGCTACCCCTGCTCCGTGCCTCAGTCGCTGGGACTTTCTGGGCAGCACCTTGCACCAACGCTGGATCCACTTCACCGGCCTGTCCACACGGTCCGTCAGCGCGCGGCAAGCCTGGGCGTGAGCGTCCTATGCACCAGCCGGCCATGTGCTAACTGCCGTGTGGAGCCGGCTGCCCTGGGCTCCGTACTGCGCTGTGACGGGCCCCTGTCGGGAGCCGCGAGCGGGAGGTGCAGAGCGAGGGGCAGGTGTGAGGTCAGAGGTCCAGTGGGCGAAGCGAATCCATAAGAGGGGTTTGAGCTGGATTTGGGCTGGGGGAGCCGAGTGACGGCCTGAGAACAGGCTTCCCTGGCCTGAGAGAGCAGGGGCTGGGTTGGGGGTTTCAGGTGTCCAGGTGGGAAGCGGCGAGGACCCAAGCAGGGATTTCGGGGCCGCCAGAGCCCAGATCCTGGCAGCGTTACGGAGGCAGAGCTGCGTGAGGACGAGTTTGGCGTCTGGGCTGGGGTGAGGAGCAGTGTCACCGAGATGGAGGCACGGGGAGCGTATCTCCGCCTTTCCCCTGCTTTCTGGAGGCCCTGGCATGCTGCCCATCCGGAAGCTGGACCAGGGGTGGGGAGGACCCAGCAGAGTGTACAGGTAG